CGGGGCTCACATTGCGGGTACTGCGGCGCGGGCGAGGGCTGCGCGTAGGCGGGCATGAACTCGCGCGGGTAGAAGGCGTCGGGCCGCTCCTTGGCGTCGAGGAACGCCTTGGCGAACGGGTTGTACTTGATCTTCAGCGACGTCACCTGCAAACCGCCGCAGACAGCGCTCCAGCACACTGCACCCGGCGCGCGCGCGGGCGCGGGGCCGGCCGGTGGGCGCGCACTCTTTCGTATAGTACAGAAATCAAAACGTACCTAATACATATCGCACCTCCAACAACCGAAGAGTGACACAAGTGAGAATTACTGATTTCTAAGAAATTGCAATTTTAAGTTTCGTAGTTCTGTAATACTCGTTATAGATTGTACCAAATATTCACCTTCTAGCGGACAGTAATTGAACTAATTCAAAATCAACTTCAGAATAGTAGCAGTACCTCTTGGTAACTTATTATCAGCTTTTAGCTAAAAAATGACGATTTCGCTCTTGTGTCACTTTTCTATTGGAGGTGCGACATGTGATAGAATGTTTTAGAATAATTATTCACAGTAGGCAGCGAAAAGCGGAGCTTTTCCAAATTAAATTAAGCAAGAAAGATTAGATTCACTAGCCATCCTGTCATTCGAATATCATATACCGTTGACTTAGGCGATGTGAGCGACGTATTTGCAGATTAAAGAGCGCAAAAGGGCCCTTCATTTAATTATTTTCAATATTGTGAACAAAATTGTTAAAACTAGTGTAATAATAAATATATTGTTTAAAATGACTAAAGCTCCTTTTTTTTTTACAGCGGTTCCATATTGTTTCTATTTTTTCCTGTGCGCCAAATCCCAAAGGCCGGCCCCTGCACAAACGCACTTATTCTGCTGCCACATACACTTACCTCTTCGTTTTGGTAAGCTGTGACAGCAATGAACTGCGTCTCAGGAAAAGGGTAAGTGTTAATTTTTTTGGGATCTGTGCCAACCTTCACTAAATGTACTCGCGGCTCATATTTATGTAAGGAGTTTAGCATTATCTGTAAAAAAACAAGAATATATAAATATGTGTACTGAAGGTGTCTACTTTGTACTTGATTCGCGAGCGCCGCAGTGGAAATTGGACACGCGTAGTGAAGCGTCATTGTGACTTAAAACTTTGAAGTTATAAATACGACGCCATGCTGCTCACTGACCCGTGTTGTCTACCGCCATGTTCTCGGTCATATTTCAATGGCAAAGAAGTACAAAAAAGATTGACTTGGCGGCTTAGCGATGGTTGAGTAATTAGTAACAAATAATCGATTAATATTTTAATTTAACTCTTGGATTAAAATGCATCTATTAATCGTTCCCATTTAATCGCCTAATCTAATGTTAACCCAAATTTTTTCACATGATTTAATTAATGCATGAAACGTTAAAATCATTAATTTTTGGTTTGTACATATAACGTCAAAAACTAAAATACATTTTGAGATATTGGCATGACAAATAAACATGTATTTTATCAGTTTTCGAGCCATACAATCAATCGCTTATGTCTCTTACTTTTCTTTCGTTGGAGAGAGACTATGAATTGCTTCGCTAAAGTTTTAGTGCTAAGGGATATTTTTATATTTTGCTTGTCCTGAAAGTTAATATTTTATTTAAATAATCGGAAAAAATAATTGATATTCGGAATAATCAATGTAAGAATATTTGATTTCGATTTTTGGAAAATGTCTAAAATGATGGAATGTTGTGGTAGTGCCAGTTGGTGAGCGGTGCGCACCTGTCCGTTGCCGTTGGTCTTGTTGGTGAGCTTGACCTTGGCGAAGGACACGGGCTCCTTCATCCAGTGCGCGCCGAAGTTGGGCGACTCGGGGTGCACGTAGACGGCGTTGGCGGGCGGCGCCTCCGCCTTGCCCCCGGGCACCCACTCGCCGTTCACGTACTTCCACCTGCCACACACACACACAGTGCTTTCACGTTTATGTATTCTAATATTATATAACATTAATTTTAGTTAACTGAAATTATATAACTTAACTGAATATATAGAACTTTGTATTTTTGTTTTTTTAAATTTTGGTTCCCGGAAATATATATGTAGGATTGTTTTTCGGACGGGCCGATTTTGTCCTTTGGGCCGATATCTGGGCCTGTCCACTTCAATTTGATTGGCTTATCTTCTGACCGATTAATTAATTCACCCTCGACAAAACGAAAACTGTACAACAAAAGAAATTGTTCCGTGCCTTCAATTTCGTAATTTATAACTAAAACAGCATGCTAATAATCATTCTCGTGTATTATCGTTCACTTATATTATTTCTTTATTTTTTTGTTTATCCGTTATCTTCTCAAACATTCCTGGCAGTGGTTAATGAGATCCCACTTTCCTACTTCCAACCACCTCTTCTATCCCCACACCCCCTCAATGACGTACTAATCTCACGGACAGAACAAGCTCTCATTCTTCTGTGGATTGTTATTGTCAAACGAGAATATAACGTTCGTACAACACGTTTAAGGAGAGCTTTAATTTTATTATGTATGTCTCTTACTTTACTGACTTCACTTTCTTTACAGACAGCACAATTAGTAAAGTTTAGCTTATCGTATTCTTACTACATACCTTGTTGGGTATTTTGCTATTATTTTTTATTAGAGTTCATTTTCCAATGTATCAATTTCGTAGCATACCTGATGATGACTTTTCCACAATAACTCGAAAGTTGTATAAATATGGTTAAAAATGAAAGGCGTACAGAACAATGTTATACATATTGTTGTGGCCTACAAAACATTAAGCTCTCTCCAACATTTATTGCCTAGGGTTAAAACTCCTATTCTCTCCATTGAAAAAGTGACATTTATTTTGTGAAAGGTACTGAATACAATTCTGCTTAAATAGGACAAAGAAGGAGAATATTTTCTTGCAGATTAAAGAAACACATCAGACGTTGAAAATTAAATTTAGACCGTTTCAAATTAGCCCACCACTTGATTTATAATAACCATTGTTTGGGCTCTAATGAAAAGTTGAAATAAAGCAAGAAAATGAAACGTTTAGAGAATCTTGTAATTTTAAGACTTTTCAGAAATCTAAATTTTACAGGAATTTATGAACACTATTAAAAAGTATTCGAATAATAAGATTAGTTCATTTTTATTAGTTTCTCTTTCTTTACCTCTTTGTGATCTCATCTCACAACGTTATTTCATAAGTTGGCGACACCTTAGCTCTTTTTTTCTTTAGATTATAATTCTAAAGTAACTCTACGTTACGTGAGCAGTGAGGTTTTACTTAAATTCATTACTTTAGTATTTGCGTATTATTTTGTTATACTTAGTCTATTCACTTCGAACCCCTTTCTTTTAAAATTGTATTTTAAAAATTGTTCCATTCTTTCTTGTTACATAACATGACTGAAGACGAGGAAAATCGTTCATGAATGCTAACTCTGAAACTATTATTTAATAAATATTAAACATATGGTTTGTTATTTTTTTAATCATATTTATTTAGTCTGGGTACTTTAGGATGTGTTTCTTGTAAATATTATGTAGTACATTCCCAAAATACACTTAAGGAGCTGCATGAATGCTCACTAAAGTTGAAAGAAGTATGAAAGCTTAAGAAAATGAACTTAATTTAGTGCTCAATTAATTTATTTGAGTATTCCATTAAGTGAATCGAGAGACGTAGAAACTTTGTCACCGCACTCCGAAAGGAAGCGGCGAGGTGCACGCGCGTCAACACCGGACTCGAGCGTCGGAGCAGCGGCGACGGCGGCG